TTTTTTTTTTCAAATTTATTCTTAAATTTATGAACTAAACACAACTTTAAGTAACAAATTTTATCAAGAAATGTTTTATTAAAAAAATTTATTAAATTAATTTAATTTTTTTTATCATAAAAATTATACCCAAAGTAATACGACGGCTCCAAAGTATACAAGTCCAATTTATTTATTTATTTTTTAAGTGGATTTGATAACTATACTTAACAAATCAATCCCAACTTCATTAACTACAACATAATAATATCTTATTTTGCTGAGATGCTTAGATCTTAATGAGAATGAAATCATATCCAACGCGGCCACTGTCACAGTGGTATATACACCAATTAAGGTGTGTTTGATTGGGGATTAGGGGGGACTATTCACTATTTAGATTGTTTATCTGAAGGAGTGTGTAACAATCTCTATCCGTAATTAGTCACTAATCCGTATTTAATGATGTTAATGAGTGAATAAAATAAATTATGGGTTTATTATGTGATTTGCATGATATTTGGCTTACTATCTGTTACTTGTAGAAATATATGTCAGGAATTCCGCTTTAATATGTAAATTGAAAACCTTATCGGCATCTGAAATTGAAATTGACTACACCGATATGTTATTTAGAATTTTTAGAACCATATGGCAAATTTTATTAAAAATTGATTCAGTCTGATTAATTAAGTCATGTTTGGTTAGCCTAATATTCTAATTAATACGTTTTAGCACCATAAACATATATTTGGGACATAAGCTCATTTTGAGCTCATCTTCTTCATTTCCTTTAGTGCAAAAATCTGAGATTTCATCCTAGAGTGAGAGAAACTCCATTTTACAGAGAGAAAGTGTTTATTTAAAGTTGAAGTTGGGAATTTTGCTAGATTAGCTCAAGTTTGGCAAGGATCTTGTGTGTTTGAAGACTATAGGTATGAATTCAACCCCTACATTGTGAATCTAAGTTATAAACATGAAGATTATGTGTTTAAGGGTGTGTTTTGAGCTTAGAAGGAAGATTTGAGTGGCAATTCATGCATGCATGTACATTTTCTTACAAATTGAGCATGATTTCCAAAAATTCTCTCATGCATGTTTGAAATTCATCTTCATTTGGGGAAATCATCAAGTTTCTAGTTGTTTTGTGGTGTTTGATCATGTTTTGAGAAGTTCGATACAAGAAAAATTCATGCATGTTGTGTTCATAAACATTCATCATGTTTTAAGTTGAAATTATGAGTTTTTAACAAACTCTTGGTTCATGATTTTATGAAATAATTCTTAATTCATCATGTTTTACAAGTTTACTATGTTATATCAAGTTTTGGGGCCCAAGAAATGTGTTTTGAAGGTTGGAATTCGAGTTTTGAGCTTGAAGGTGCAATCTGAAAATTCTAGAATTTACATCTACGCTCGAGCGTGGGAGTTCACGCTCAAGCGACCACTCTGTGTGCATGCACTCCGCTCGAGTGACTAAAAGTCCGCTCGAGCGTGAATTGCAAGCTCCCAGAAATTTCATGTCTTTTACAGATCGCTCGAGCGAAGGAATGTCTGCTCGAACGACCCTTCACATTTTGCATGTCCGCTCAAGCGAGGAAAGCTACGCTCGAGCGTGGACCTCATTTTCAAAAATTTTGACTAAGTGTTCCAAGGCATGTTTTGGCATCCTCATTGCATCCTAGACATTCCTAAGCCTTAATTAAGCCATATTAAGGAGGTTATGGATTAGAAACACACTAAGGAATGAATGTACTAAGTTATGAGACTGCAAGTGAGTGTGTTTTAGGCAAGGTGGTAAGAAAGAATAAGAACCAATGTAATGAAAACTAAGCCCTAATGGCCACTTGAATGTGTAATGATAAGACATGCTTGTGTTATGTATTTTGTGATTGTAGGTCAAGACTCGAGGGTTGATTGACCATTTACGAGAACCACTGTGAGTAACATTTCTGTAAAGATATGTTGATATAAATTATGTTTCAAATGAAATGTGATAAGCTATGATTTCTGAAATGTTATCTGTTTACGTGAACGAACATTCCAAGTTTGAAAACTATTATGGCATCCATAGATAGTCCCAAGTCATGGGGGACGGCATGAAAATGCGGGTCCATGACATACAAGTAATTACGAAATCTCGTTAGCTACTTCATTGCGGTGATATGTGTTTAATCGGTATCCGAAACCGATTACTCTAGTCGAAAGACGTTCTGTGATGTGTTCTATGAGATGTACCATTATTATGTTCTGATATGAGAATGATTATGCTATGATCTGTTTTACGCTTATGATATGTTCGGAATTCGTTCACTAACCCCTTTACCTTAATGTTATTCATTGGGCTTTAGCTCATTGTGTGTATATATATGTATAGGTGAGCATTCTGGAGCCAGAGCCTGAAGGCTTTTGTCTGGATCTGTGTTCTGTTGTCAGCCAACCAATGTGCCTCACGTGGAGGTTCCCGAAGTGTCCTGTGTTTAAGTTCTGTGGTTTCTGTTTATTTAAGACTTGATTTGATGTCGTTGGCTGTACTTAAAATACTGTAATGTGTGTGGATATAATGTATGGTTGACTACTGGTTATTGTATATAAAGTTTTTAAATATTCTGTTTCATATAAGTCAGCACAGCTCATTGGACAACTATATTTATGTATTTGCTTCCGCTAGCCCCCTTAATCTTGTTAATCTGTTCAGAGGCCTTCGGTAGTCCAAGGATTACTGGCCGGTTACGATGCTAAACCTATAGGGGCGGGTTTGGGTCGTGACACATGGGAAATTGGTCATCAACCAAATATAAGGCTCTCGGCCAATTGTTTGTTGCCGATCGGCACTAAACATGGTCAATCGACCATTTTCTCCTGCAGAAAGTTCCTGTTGCTGCAATAGAGGATAAACAGAGCATGGCAATGCATTTTCAAGACAATATATGCACAATCAATAAATTTTTATAGATATTTTATTGATATTTTATTTTAAAATTTTGTTTATGTTTTATTTAATTTCATTATTTAAATTTTAATATATGTTTTATTTAATTTCATTATTTAATTATTATTATTTTTTAAAATAAATTTATTGGAAATTTTAATTAAAAAATAGCATATATTTTTATTGATATTTTATTTAAAAAAATAAATTTATTTAATTGTGTAAAAAATAAAATAAAATAAATTTTTATTTAATCTAGCTAAAAATAATTAAAATATTAAAGATAGGTTTAATATTGTTATTACTTAGTAAATAATTGAAAAATGGTAAAATAGTCTTTTGTTCATTTATCCTATCCAGCCCGTCCAACCAAACATTGGATTCACTAAAAATAGTCATTTCTAGATATCTAATCCTATGAAAAAACAAGCATAGGATACATATCCAATCCAGCCAAATAGTCCAGGGGATTCACAGTCCCAAGACTCAAATCCGATGGATTTTAATCCCCTCTTATTCAGTCCGTCCAATCAAACACACCCGTGTATATATTAATATATAAATTAGTATTATGATATTATTATTAATCACATTTATTATTTAAATTATAAATATTTAAAACCATATAAATAAAAGGGGGTTTTTTTTAGGGTCCCTGGTATTAAGACTTTATAGTATAAAGGACATCTAATATTTTCATAATGTCTAAGATCCCTCAATTTGATCCAGAGAAATTCTGGTCCAGAGAAATTTAGTCCAGAGAAATTCTGCTCCAGAGAAATTCTGTCCAGAGAAATTCTGCTTCAGAGAAATTCTCTCCAACCTAGAGAAATTCTGAAAATTTTATAAAAGTGTTTGTTATGACATGCTACTTTTATATAATTCAAAGTTTAATCTTTTGCGAGTTCATAACTGTACAAAATCATGAATAGATTTTATCCTCTTAATGCTTTTGTACCAATTTGAAGAAATTTGATTTCCACTAATTGTTTTAATTCCTGCAGCAAGTGAGGGTGGGGTCATTTTTGTTAGTGGAGTACATGAAGACGTAGAACATGAGAATCTACTGAACATATTTCTTAAATTTGTCCATTTTTTTAGTATCTTTTTTTGAATTTCTCTGGGTTTTTGTGATTTTCTCTGAGTATTTATCAGTGAATTTCTTTGAGTTTTTGTGATTTTGTCTGGAAATTTATCAGTGAATTTCTCTGAGTTTTTGTGATTTTCTCTAGGAATTTATCAGTTGACTATCTGGGAAGTCACACATTTACATTTCAAATTCCCCTTCTTCACTCAAACCCAGAGAAAATTCAAATTTCTCTGGGTTCATTTTGACAATTTGAGATTTTCTGAAAATTTGAGGCACATGTGAAAATTTGTTTTTACCAGACTTAATTAAGTTGTTTTTATCATTAGGAAAATGCTCATATGATGCACATTGAGCCGAGGTTGACAACGAAAGCCCCCTCAACAGGCTGAACGGTGATCCAAGTCTTGCCACCGTCTCGGGTGGCCTGAAGCCCACCCACCTGATCTTGCAGCAACAGTGTTATGGTTCCAGGGTCTGTGTGGCGTTTGAGCCCCAGCGTGAGGTCCGGCTGAGGACACTTGGGATAGTAATTCACCACCACTTTCTGGTCCATGTCCACGCACGTCTTCGTCAGTGCCTCCTTCTCCAATCCTATATCCGACAACACCTCCAGTAACTTGCATGCCAACATGAGGATCTACTGAACATATTTCTTAAATTTGTCCATTTTTTGAGTGTCTTTTTTTGAATTTCTCTGGGTTTTTATGATTTTCTCTGAGAATTTATCAGTGAATTTCTTTGAGTTTTTGTGATTTTCTCTGGGAATTTATCAGTGAATTTCTCTGAGTTTTTGTGATTTTCTCTGGGAATTTATCGGTTGACTATCTGGGAAGTCACAACATTTACATTTCAAATTCCCCTTCTTCACCCAAACCCAGAGAAAATTCAAATTTCTCTGGATTCATTTTGATAATTTGAGATTTTTAGAAAATTTGAGGCACATGTAAAAATTTGTTTTTACCAGACTTAATTAAGTTGTTTTTATCATTAGAAAAATGCTCATATGATGCACATTGAGCCGAGGTTGACAACGAAAGCCCCCTCAGCAGGCTGAAAGGTGATCCAAGTCTTGCCACCGTCTCGGGTGGCCTGAAGCCCACCCACCTGATCTTGCAGCAACAGCGTTATGGTTCCAGGGTCTGTGTGGCGTTTGAGCCCCAGCGTAAGGTCCGGCTGAGGACACTTGGGATAGTAATTCACCACCACTTGCTGATCCATGTCCACGCACGCCTTCGTCAGTACCTCCTTCTCCAATCTCATCGCCTCCGACAACACCTCCAGTAACTTGCACGCCAGCTCCATCAGACTCGAGCTGTACTTCTCCGTCACCGCTCTCCACTTCTCTGGCTTGTCTAGCCACCGCGAGTAGTCAACCTGGATCTGAAGCGCCCCTCCGACCGCCCCCATGGCACAGTCCAACTCAAGATCTGCCTCCACGAAGAAGACAGAGTTTAGACAGACAAAAAAAAAATAAGGATTGACTTGAGAGAGTTAATTTTCTCTGTGATATATTGGTGTGCAAGTTGAGGGACCTTAGGCATCATAATATAATATTGTGGATCTCTTCTATTACTAAAATTGGGAGAGGGACCTTAGACCAATTTTCCCTAAATAATATCACATAATTTATTAATACACTAATATATATATTAATTAATACATGTAACATTATTTCACTTCCAGATATCTAATCTTATGAAAAAACAAACACAGGATACATATCCAATCCAGTCAAATAGTCCGGGAGATTCACAATCCCAGAACTCAAGTCCGATGGAGTCCGTCTAATCAAACACACCCGTGTATATATTAATATATAAATTAGTATTATGATATTATTATTGATCACATTTATTATATAAATTATAAATATTTAAAACCATAAAAATAATATCACATAATTTATTAATACACTAATATATATATTAATTAATACATGTAATATTATTTCACTTCCTCTACCAATCTCGCTTCTCCGTCCAAAGATGACATTCATATCTCTCTCTCTCTCTCTCTCTCTCTCTCTCTCTAAGCACTCCATGGAACATACTTTTCCATAGAGTTTTTGACTAGTAAATTGAATAAAGAAAATACACCAGACAACCTCCTATAAGTTTGAATAAGAATTTTCCGTGAATTACAGACGCAGAAGAAGAAGAGATCATTTTGATTCAGTCCTTGTGTGGTTGCCTATAACGCCATGAAAGATCATCGAAAACGTGCCCTACTTCTACCCTGGAAGAACAAGTTCTTCCTCTGCCTACTCCTTATCTTCTTCTTCGCTTTCACTTTCTCCACTCCTCTCTTCTTCTTTAGAGGTAATAATTATTCACCATCCAATCATCTTCCACTTCTTTTTCTTCTATTTTATTTGTTTCATTTTATTTCTCTTGCGCTTGTTTAGTTAGAGGATTCAAAAAGGATTTGAAAAGGAGAAGAAAATTGTAAATAAAATATATTTATATTTTACTTAATTTTTACATTTTTTTTTCTTTTTCCTTTCCAATCTCTAAATTAAACAGAGAGCTAATTGTTTAATTTTTTTAATTCTCTCTAATCTCATCCTTATTTCGAAATTCTCGACTTGTGTTAAATAATTATAATTGAAAATTAATCATTGCTTTTTTCTTTTTCTTTTTTCTCTTCAAATTCGAACAGAAACTTTTCGTCCAAGACTGGTCTCGTCATGGCGGACTCCGGCGATAGAAGTCATCTCCGGCGAGTCTCCGGCAATCTCTGTACGAGAAACGGTTATGTTTCCAGACGAGTCTCTGATTTTCCTAAAATACCCTCAGTCAACCCCTTTATTCACCAAAGATGACATCACTTGTGTTTACTTCTCGCCCAACTCCTTCGAACCTCTGCTAACGTTCCCTCCAGTGTCCGTCGACGCTGAACATGAATATCTCGACATTCAGATCGTACGGTGTCCGCTTCAGCCACGTGGCCTCACAACCACCGTTGCCGTGAAATCTAGCGGTCCCCTCCCTGTTGGGCCCACTCACCGTTGGGACTCGCTGGCATACGAAGCTGTGATCGACCGCGACAACACTACCATTGTTTTTGTGAAAGGACTCAATCTACGGGGTGGACGAGTGGCGGACCCATCAAGATTCAAGTGCGTGTACGGCTGGGATTTCACCAATCCTAAGCTTTTACTACGATCAGATGCCTTATCGGTCGCCCAAGAGATCGTACGGTGCAAAACTCCTTTGATTATATTGAGCGGCTCACACAGAATTAATGGTTCTGCTAAGGTTTCAGTTAGGGTGCTTGGTAAACACACATTCAGCTCAGTGGCTCGGCCCGATCGTCGAATTGGGCCCAACCCACCTGCTCGGAAGCAACACCAAATGTGTGTCTGTACCATGCTGCGCAATCAAGCCAAGTTCTTGCAGGAATGGGTCACCTACCATGCCCGGATTGGGGTTCAAAATTGGTTCATTTATGACAATAATAGTGACGATGATATTATTAATTTGATTGAGTCATTAAATAATGACAATTTCAATATTACCCGGCATTTGTGGCCATGGGTCAAGACCCAAGAGGCTGGGTTTGCCCATTGTGCACTACGGGCCAGGGAGTCATGTGAGTGGGTTGGATTTGTTGATGTCGATGAGTTCTTGCACTTGCCATCAAACTTGTCATTACATGATATTCTTAGGAATCAATCTAGTGAGGTAGCCGAATTACGAGTCTCGTGCCATAGTTTTGGCCCATCGGGCCTCAAACATGTCCCAGTAAAAGGAGTGACAGTAGGGTACACGTGTCGGATGGCAGCTTCAGAGAGGCACAAAAGTATAGTGAAGCCTGAAGCACTAAATTCCACACTAGTCAATTTGGTGCATCATTTTCACTTGGCGAGTGGTTTTAAGTATGTAAATATCGATAGAAATGTGATGGTAATTAATCACTATAAGTATCAAGTGTGGGAAGTGTTCAAAGAGAAGTTTCATGGGAGGGTGGCTACTTATGTGACTGATTGGCAAAAAGAGAAAAATGAAGGATCTAAGGATCGAGCTCCAGGCTTGGGAACTAGAGCAATTGAACCAGCAAATTGGTCTAGTCGATTTTGCGAGGTTGTCGACATCGGGCTAAGGGATCGAGTGGTAGATATGTTTAGTGACCCTCAAACCCGAAAGTTACCGTGGCAAAACCATGAAGAAAATACAATTTAGATTGAACAGAACAAAGAAGAGAAAAGTGGGGGACTTACGTTTTTTTCTTTTTTTTTTTTTGTGTGTGCCCACCTTGTTTGATGTTGTGATACAATGTATAGAGACAAATGAATTGGTTGATCATTCTTTTGTAAATCATTTCCTTTGGAGATATGTTTAAAAAACACAAGAAATAAACGCCTGTAATGGTGCGTCATATTATTGATGTCTTGACAAACACATGGTTACAACAACCATTTGAATATTTTATGTTTCTCAAGAGCTACCGACTACATTTTTTGTTTTTATCCTGGTAGGATATTCCAAGTGGGCTGTCCAGGTCAACAATTCAAAAGCTGCCAACTTAGCTTGGCAACTTTCTCGGTTGGGTCCTTGTCATGGTTACCTCAAAGTAGACTCGATCTCGGAACGACGTCAGGTGTTAGCTGCCGGGGCCTGTTTGGATTTCTCCCACTAGTTTGTTAATTATTTTGTAGCAAAATGCTAAAACTAAATTTTGGAAGAAAAATTACTTATAAATAATTTTTTTTTTATAAAAAAACTAATTTAAATGATGTGACATTGACATTTTTAAAATTATTAATCAAAATAATAAATATTTTGATTTGAATTGAAAAAATAACAAAAAAAAAAAAAAAACTATAAAAAGTTTTTCTTATCTTTAATTTTAAAAATCTTAACTTCAACTTTAACCTTAATTACTGTCGGCCAGTCGCCATCTCCTGCACCGACCTTCTCTCCTAACCAACCCAACTATTTTTCCACATTCTTCTGTTGCTGTCACTTCTTATCCTACCTTCTTTTACCACCTCAGTCATTTCTATAATCCACAATCACCTCAATTATCCATGACTGTACGACCTTTTTCTTGCCAGCCAGCAGTAGTTAGGATTAGAGAAAGAGATGGGCTAGATTGGGTGCGAGAGAGAGAGATGGGCTGGATTGGGTGCAAGAGAAAGAGATTTGCGATAGGAGGGTTGTTGAGGAAGATTTGCAGTAGTGGAGGGTGTAAGAATTTATTCTTAATTAGGCTGTCATTGACTATATTTTGTTTGATTTGTGAAAAACGGGTTGAACGTGATTCAGATAGATTGACTGGTATGAGCCCAAAATTATTATTGTGATCCATAAAATTTGGGCCATGGTCATCTTAGTGTATATATTATTTTATATGTGGATATGTGATATGGAGGTGTAAGGCCTGTTTTAAGTTATTTGGGTTCCTTAATGGGAGGGCCAGTAATTGTTTTATTTAGGCCCAGTCCCCTCTCCTATCCTTATAGGGTTTAACATATATCTATATATATGTAGGTCAAAGGGTTGTCAGCCCCATTGAAAAGACAACATAAAAATTAGGAGAAGGAGGGGAGAGCTGGTGCTAAGGTTTTCCGATTGTGAATACCATTACTTTCAAAGAAGCAAAACTCAAAGACAATAACGGAATCAAACGGTATGTATACCAGTTTATGTTTGAGTAGTTAAATTATATTTATAGTGTTTTGATTTCTAGTATATAGATCTTATATTGTTACACTGTGTATCAGAGCCAGGTTTATACTAGAATCAAAATCATGGCAGATTATTTCAGTAAAATTATTTTATATAATGATAAGGAATAAATTAATATTTCTTTTTACTGAATGATGCTTTTGCATCTCAAAGTCGTGCTTTAATAATTTCAAGAAAACTTTTTTTAATGTAACAAATACATACTGTTTGAGTATTGATAGTTCGGTTCCAATTATGTTTTATAAAATAAAAAAAAAAAATAGTAATTTGGATCTGGTAGTTTTATGACAATTGTAAAGTATGGATGTCTGTATATTGAATCTATATTGATATATATATATTTCAAATCTCACCTAATCAAATATTTGCAAAAGATATGAAACATATTTGTTTTTATGACTTTTACATAAACATTAAGACTGTTTAAGAGTTCTATATCATGTATATCACTTTGGTGTAATTTTTTGTACATTCATATGCTAATTTTGGCTCACCGAGAGATATTATTTTTTGAGTAACTGTTCAGTGGTGATTCGTAATATGATATTATATATGCTTTGATGGGCACTTGGATATGCTGAAAATTTAATAAAAGTCATATGACCTAATAAATAAATAAAGTTTTAAAGGTGGACAAATATTTATTTTTTTGTAGTCCCAGTTGGAAGATTTTGAATCAATGTGGGTAATACTGCCGAAGTGGTTAACCTATTAAGATTTAAAATGATTTACCAATAAGGATTCTGGGAAGCTCTTCTAATATTATATTACTCAATTACCCACCCAAAGGGGGTTAATTGAGTGTATTAATTTTAGAGGTAGTGTGAGCCGCTAGTAAGGGAAATTTTATTGATTTTGAAAGAATTTATCTACCCAAAGGAGATAATTTCTTGATAAATCATTCTTGCTAGTTGACTTGTTTATAGGTGTTAGAATGTGTCTTATATATTTAGCCCAAAGGTATTTATATAATGATACATTCTGAAACATCTGACAATATTGTTAAAGTTTATTTGTAGCCCATTGTTGTGAGATTATAATTATTGCCCATGTATAATTAATTAAGATTTTATTGAAGTTTAAAGATGTTGATTGTATTCTATATATTCAACCCAAAGGTGTTTATATAGTGATACATTCTGGCACATCTGAGAATATTGCTAAAGTTTATTCGTAGCATATTGTTGTGAAATTATACTAATTGCCTATGTATAATTGAAAGTTGGAGTTGTGAAAATGCTTTCTATATATTCAGTTTAAGAGTGATACATTTTAAATATTTGAGAATGTTAATTGTAATTATGAGATTATTATTGTCCATATATGATTGAATGATATTATATTGAATTGAAAGCAATGAAGGGAGATATTTTTATGAAAATCAAATTTACTCCATTAAAGTTTTGATTATGAATCAGTTAAAAGATATTGAGTTAGCTTTAAGACTAACTGATTTAGACATTGACATACTCGAGAATGTGTCTTCTTAACCATTTATATTAAGACCTCAATATAGTGTGAAAGATTGAAATTATATTCAATTTTAACTATTTAAGAAAGTAGAGTTTTAAAATATTAAATAGGTGATTCTTATAAGAAAATCTAAATTATACTCTACAATGCTCTATATAATACCTTCGACTTTTACAAATCGTTATGTCTCTTCAGTGTTTTATGTTTTCCTTTTCAGAATATTCCGCAAATCTCTTTATATATTATTAACTCAAGTAAGAAAAATTCTTTAGAATTTTTTGTGAGCTATGATGCTCTTCCCACCTTCGGAATCTACTTATTTATTTTTTAAACTGCTTAAAAAAAAAAATGTTTGTGTTAATCAAAATTTTATTTTATGGTCAAGTTATTTAAGTTATAGTTTAGTACTAATCTTATTTTAAAGAATGTTATTTTTATATCATCCATGAGATAAAATTCAATTTTAATGTCAACAAAATAAGCATTGTTATTATTTTTAATTTTGGTAATAAATAAAATAAAAATAATAATAATTGAAATAGATTTTCATTTATCATAAGGTGTGTGGGAAAAATTATTTTATTAATTTCATAAATGAGTATTGATGTTATGCATTTGTCTAATCTCGTTTATGTTGAAAAACACACTGATAAGGATTTTAAAATTATTAATTGGAGATCGATATTTTAGTGAACATAATAATTTTGGTTAATGTGCATAACCTCTTATTAATTTTTTTTTTTATAAAATTGTGGAATCAATTTAAATATATCATGCTTGTAACTTCAAAAGAAAGTTGAGTACTTAAGCGTCGTAATTGGACTCTAATAAAATGATGATATGTATGTTAACATGTTTAAATTATACAAGTTTTTGTGATAAAATATTTTTAATTGCTATGTATACTTATGTATACTTTATATATGGTACTAAGTTAAAAATATATTTAAAACACTTTTGAATTACGAACTAATATAAAATTTAGTTGGAATAACTTTTGAGTTTGGGATTGTACAAAAGTAAAAAATTTTATGATATAATTTTGAAATCAAAATGGGACCTATAGCTATTTGTTTTTACTTTATAAGTTGTCAATGGTTCTACTATCTTGGTTTTGACATAAGAATCTTTTAAGCTTTTAAAATGTGAAGTTATTAGATTGATGAACAATTTAAATATATAAATCTTCCTGCATACTTGTGCCTATTATAATAAATTGGTCCGCTCATTCTCACATAGAGAAAGTGAGAGTGCAAGTAGAATCTGAAGTGTCTATTCAGTCTATTGATAAAAGTTGAACATGTATGACATGTGCAACCTTCTAGACATTCTCATACAATTAAAAGATCCTTGCAATTATATTATTTTTCTAAATGAGCAATATCAAGAGATTGAAGAGATGATTGTTACGTATGATGAAGATATTGGCGATTTGTAATATGGTAAATGAATTGGTACAAATTATTAATTAGATATGAGATCATGTTATACCTTTTTAAAAGTTTGAAATCTAATGAGTTTTTTTTTAAAAAGATAAATAAATAAATACAATGCTATTGCAAGAGGTTGTGATTTGAAAAGAGTATTGTTCTTACCAATGTCATAAATATAGGTTTATAATTATTATAGTGGTATTGTGACATTTTTATCTTTTGCTTCGCCAAACAAAATAAATTTGATTTGTAAGTTAAACAAATTTATCTATGGTTTTAAACGAATTTCTGAGTAATGATATTTAAGGGTTCACCAAATATTATTACTTGACTTTATGGATAATACTATTAATTTATGCATACATCTCAAGGTCAGTGGGAGCAATTTATTTTTCTTGATCCTTTATAGTGATGGAATTTTACTTATTAGTAATAATTTCGAATTAATACTTGATGTGAAGATATTGTTGTTAATAAATTTTTGGTATAAAATATCTTGATAAAGTATTTTATGTGTTTGGCATTGAGATACTTGAAAAATAACTTAGAGGATTATTTGTCTCATCTCAAACAGCATATGTAGATCACATTTTTACTGAATTTAATATGCAAAATTGAAAGCTTTACGTTGCTTTTCTTAATGATCGAGATTAATTAAGTAACATTCAGTATTCATAAATGATTTTGAGAAAAAGTTCATGAGGAATGTCTTGTATGCTAGTGTTGTGAGAGTTTAATGAATTATGAAGTTTGAATTAAACTTGGTGCATATGCAATTAGTTTGTTAGACAATTATTATGTTAATTTAAACATAAAGTGTCATGATATTTATAGAGAATTAAAGATTATACAATTGGCTATAGAAGAATTAATCATGTTAATATTATTGGTTGTGTAATGTCAACTTTGGAAGTTGTTCAGATGATATATAGTGTCTGTTACTAGTTACATTTTTATGTTTGCATAAGGTGTTATTTCATGAAAGAGTTTCATAAAATCTCTTATAATTTTTCACTATGCAAACATATTTCAGAGTTCGAATTGAGTTATGTAATTAAAGAATTTTATTTCAGAGTTTGGAATTGTTAATTTCATCTCCAAACCTATAAAGATGTATTATGATATATGGTTTTAATTTTCTCTATGAAGAATAACAAAAACTCTGATGGCGTTAAATACATAAATTTAAAGTACTTCAGAATTAGAGAACCGTTAAAGATGATATTCTTTATGAACACATGTTATAGAATACATACTAGTTGATCCTCTAAATATAGGGATTAGGCCAAATTTTAGTTTGTTAAATATATTGAGCATATGGGTACTTTACAGTTTTTTATGTGCTTGGTTAAAGAAATTTTTTACCCATGAATATTATCTATGGTATATTATTCTCTTAATTGGAATTATATCAACACTTATGACCACATTATTATAAGTCGGATTATGGAAAGTTTTTTGAGGTGTCAAACAATTTTTATTTGTAAATATCCTACCTATTAAAAAAAAAAAAAGAAAAACTATTTAGAAGTGTATATGGATCCATAAAGTATGATACTTGGTTTAAAGCATGAAAGACCTTGGTTTAGAGGAATAAAGGCTTCTTTTGGAAGTGTAAAATGGAATAAAATTCCTTGCAGGGTCTTGTCAAGACCATACAGAGGACTGAATGTGGAATTAGCATGTTATATAATTTTTGGATCAATTATGCTGAAATTCCACACTACACTTTATCACATATAGGAATCCATGTTGGTGAGATATTAGTGTTTGTAATTGTTGAAGGTGTTATGTTGTTCAATAGCATAATTACCGCTACAGTTCGATATTAATATTTCTCATTGAACGGGATTCTGTACTGAGATGTTTTTATTCTGAATCATGTTTATGTGGCCACTAAAGTTGTTTAACCCGAGAGTCATTTTTCTTAAATAAAATATTTTCTTAAAGTAGTAGTCAATGTTGCCTAAGTGGGAGAATGTAAGAATTTATTCTTAATTAGGCTGTCATTGACTATATTTTGTTTGATTTGTGAAAAACGGGTTGAACGTGATTCAGATAGATTGACTGGTATGAGCCCAAAATTATTATTGTGATCCATAAAATTTGGGCCATGGTCATCTTAGTGTATATATTATTTTATATGTGGATATGTGATATGGAGGTGTAAGGCCTGTTTTAAGTTATTTGGGTTCCTTAATGGGAGGGTCCAGTAATTGTTTTATTTAGGCCCAGTCCCCTCTCCTATCCTTATTAGGGTTTACATATATCTATATATATGTAGGTCAAAGGGTTGTCAGCCCCATTGAAAAGACAACATAAAAATTAGGAGAAGGAGGGGAAGAGCTGGTGTTAAGGTTTTCCGATTGTAAATACCATTATCTTTCAAAGAAGCAAAACTCAAGACAATAACGGAATCAAACGGTATGTATCCAAATTTATATTTGAGTAGTTAATTATATTTATAGTGTTTTGATTTCTAATATATAGATCTTATATTGTTACATAGGGTTGTTGAGATAGATGAAGATTCGCGATAGCAAAGGGTTCGGAACGATGGTGCGATTCGCAGAGGGCAGCTTTTGGAGTTTGCGACGGAGAAAGGTTCAAAATAAAAAATACATATATATATATATATATATTTAGAAGTAAGGGAAAATATCTCATTTAAGATTTAAAATTATTTACATTGCGGCACACTTTGGTCACTAAAATTAATTTTAAAAAAATTTAATTGCAAAGCTAATCACTAGAGGGAAGCCACAATTTTAATTAAAAAGTCATGAAAAAAAAAATTAAGAGTATTACTATTTAAGATAAAAAAATAGACAAAAATAGATTTAATTTTAAATTCAGTGATGTGATAATCAATTATAATATTAAAGGCTTATATTTTATCTAATCATCAACCAATCATATCATTTATATACCATTGAATTTAAAAAATAAATCTAAAAAGTAAGTTTATATATCAGGCGTGTTTGGTTTGTATTTGTAGAGTATTTTTTGAGATAAAAAGTACGAAAATTTGTTTGGTTTGTCTTTTTTCAGAAATGTTTTTGAAAAATTATTTAAGGGAGAGAGTTTTAAAAAAAATGATTGATTTGATGTGTATAAAAGAGAGAGTAATTTTGGAAAATAGGTAACCAAACAAAATTTTGAGATTTTTTTTAAAAAAATTTGTTTGGTTTGATTACTCTTGAAAATTTGTTTGTTGAGAATTTTTCTCAAATTTTTTTCTGAAAAACAAACCAAACAAAAGTAATTATTTTGAGTCATGCTAAGGATTCCAAAAAATTTATCAATTATTTTACCAAACACTAGGCTTGGCACTCATGTGAGTCCCACACTCATACAAGTATTTGATAAAAAAAATTAATAATTTTTTTAAAATCTCTAACATTTTTTAATTATTTTTTCCATTTTTATATACGTCCCTTTTAAAAAAAAAATTAATTAATTTTCAAAACAGGCTTAAGTCTCCTAAATAAGATTTACCAGCAAATTTCTGTATAAAAAGTAAAAAATAAATAAAATCAAAATAAAATGCTTCTCCACAATAATAATCTCCAAAAACATAATCAACTTATTTGATTTGGTTTTTGAAGATTTTATTTTTTAGAAGATTAAAATTTTTTGTTTTCCGTATTTTATTGTTTTCATAAGATTTTTTTAATATTTTAAGTAATTTTTTTATTTTTAGATACACTTAACATAAATACAGTCAAAAAGAATAATATTTGTAAAAGGAAAAAATTTAAAAGTTCACTAAATACCAAAAATATAAAAAAAAAAAAAAATGAAAATTCAGTATATTTTTCATATTCTTCTATATTTATTTATTTTTTATAAATATTTTATTTTTTAGATACATCTAAGTAAGTTGCATCTAAAAAAAATTACTTAAAATTTTAAAAATATTTATAAGTATCAAGTGTGGGAAGTGTTCAAAGAGAAGTTTCATAGGAGGGTGGCTACTTATGTGACTGATTGGCAAAAAGAGAAAAATGAAGGATCTAAGGATCGAGCTCCAGGCTTGGGAACTAGAGCAATTGAACCAGCAAATTGGTCTAGTCGATTTTGCGAGGTTGTCGACATCGGGCTAAGGGATCGAGTGGTAGATATGTTTAGTGACCCTCAAACCCGAAAGTTACCGTGGCAAAACCATGAAGAAAATACAATTTAGATTGAACAGAACAAAGAAGAGAAAAGTGGGGGACTTACGTTTTTTTCTTTTTTTTTTTTTGTGTGTGCCCACCTTGTTTGATGTTGTGATACAATGTATAGAGACAAATGAATTGGTTGATCATTCTTTTGTAAATCATTTCCTTTGGAGATATGTTTAAAAAACACAAGAAATAAACGCCTGTAATGGTGCGTCATATTATTGATGTCTTGACAAACACATGGTTACAACAACCATTTGAATATTTTATGTTTCTCAAGAGCTACCGACTACATTTTTTGTTTTTATCCTGGTAGGATATTCCAAGTGGGCTGTCCAGGTCAACAATTCAAAAGCTGCCAACTTAGCTTGGCAACTTTCTCGGTTGGGTCCTTGTCATGGTTACCTCAAAGTAGACTCGATCTCGGAACGACGTCAGGTGTTAGCTGCCGGGGCCGGTTTGGATTTCTCCCACTAGTTTGTTAATTATTTTGTAGCAAAATGCTAAAACTAAATTTTGGAAGAAAAATTACTTATAAATAATTTTTTTTTATAAAAAAAATTAATTTAAATGATGTGACATTGACATTTTTAAAATTATTAATCAAAATAATAAATATTTTGATTTGAATTGAAAAAATAACAACAACAAAAAAAAAAACTATAAAAAGTTTTTCTTATCTTTAATTTTAAAAATCTTAACTTCAACTTTAACCTTAATTACTGTCGGCCAGTCGCCATCTCCTGCACCGACCTTCTCTCCTAACCAACCCAACTATTTTTCCACATTCTTCTGTTGCTGTCACTTCTTATCCTACCTTCTTTTACCACCTCAGTCATTTCTATAATCCACAATCACCTCAATTATCCATGACTGTACGACCTTTTTCTTGCCAGCCAGCAGTAGTTAGGATTAGAGAAAGAGATGGGCTAGATTGGGTGAGAGAGAGAGAGAGATGGGCTGGATTGGGTGCAAGAGAAAGAGATTTGCGATAGGAGGGTTGTTGAGGAAGATTTGCAGTAGTGGAGGGTTGTTGAGATAGATGAAGATTCACGATAGCAAAGGGTTCGGAACGATGGTGCGATTCGCAGAGGGCAGCTTTTGGAGTTTGCAACGGAGAAAGGTTCAAAATAAAAAATATATATATATATATATTTAGAAGTAAGGGCAAATATCTCATTTAAGATTTAAAATTATTTACATTGCGGCACACTTTGGTCACTAAAATTAATTTTAAAAAAAATTAATTGCAAAGCTTAATCACTACAGGGAAGCCACAATTTTAATTAAAAAGTCATGAAAAAAAATTAAGAGTATTACTATTTAAGATCAAAAAATAGACAAAAATAGATTTAATTTTTAAATTCAGTGATGTGATAATCAATTATAATATTAAAGGCTTATATTTTATCTAATCATTAACCAATCATATCATTTATATATCATTGAATTTAAAAAATAAATCTAAAAAGTAAGTTTATATATCGGGTGTGTTTGGTTTGTATTTGTAGAGTAGTTTTTGAGATAAAAAGTTTGAAAATTTGTTTGGTTTGCCTTTTCTCAGAAATGATTTTGAAAAATTGTTTTAGGGAGAGAGTTTTAAAAAAAGTGATTGATTTGATGTGTATAAGAGAGAGAGTAATTTTGGAAAATAAGTAACCAAACAAAATTTTGAGATTTTTTTTAGAAAAAATTTGTTTGGTTTGATTACTCTTGAAAATTTGTTTGTAGAGAATTTTTCCCAAATTTTTTTCTGAAAAACAAACCAAACAAAAATAATTATTTTGGGTCACGCTAAGGATTCCAAAAAATTTATCAATTATTTTACCAAACACTAGGCTTGGCACTCATGTGAGTCCCACACCCGTACAAGTATTTGATAAAAAAAAATTAATAATTTTTTTAAAATCTCTAACATTTTTTAATTATTTTTTCCATTTTTATATACGTCCCTTTTAAAAATAAAAATAAAATTAAAATTAATTTTCAAAACAGGCTTAAGTCTCCTAAATAAGATTTACCAGCAAATTTCTGTATAAAAAGTAAAAAATAAATAAAATCAAAATAAAATGCTTCTCCACAATAATAATCTCCAAAAAGTAATCAACTTATTTGATTTGGTTTTTGAAGATTTTATTTTTTAGAAGATTAAATTTTTTGTTTTCCATATTTTATTGTTTTCATAAGATTTTTTTTAATATTTTAAGTAATTTTTTAATTTTTAGATACACCTAACATAAATACAGTCAAAAAGTATAATATTTGTGAAAAAAAAATTAAAAGTTCACTAAATACTAAAAATATAAAAAATATATATGAAAATTCAGTATATTTTTCATATTCTTGTATATTTATTATTTTTTATAAATATTTTATTTTTTAGATACATCTAAATAAGTTGCATTTAAAAAAAATTACTTAAAATTTTAAAAATATTCACTAAAAAGATAAATAAAATAAAAAATAAAAAATTTAATTTTAAAAAAATTAAATTCATAAAATTGAAACAAAACATAGTGAATTCTTTTTAATTGCATCTTTTTACAAACAAAAAAACAAAAACAAAAAAATCATAGTCCTCTGTCTATCCATCGAGCTTACTCTAATTTTATTTTATTTTTAAAATTCCTCCCCATTCGTGATTCGTTCCGCTCACTCACCATAGACATAATAGAGTATATCCAAATCCAAGAAACCCAAAACAGAAGTCGAAAATGGAGAGAAGCTTTCGATCAGCAAGTATCGGGGGTGTTGAAGGGTCGCTCGATAGAGATTTCAAACACAAGAAGCACTTCCATTTGCAGTATAACACTCCACCCTCCACTTCAACGAGGTACTCAACACTCCACTCTACTTTTGATCTGTATTCATATCTATGTATGTATGTATGTACTAGCATCTGGGCAAACGCAATGCCTGTTCATATTATGAGTGTATCAATTAAATAGCTTCTATGATGCATTGTTCCCAACACCTTCAATGCATGGAAAAATTCTCACAATCTCTTGTTAACCCTACTACATCCCATTACAATTTTTAACCAAGAAATGTAAGTAACAAATATATTCTATGATACATTTTTGCAAACACCTTAAATGCACACTCCATTGCACGCACATCCCGTAGAATTTTTAGTATAATAAATCAATTAAGACTCGGAACTTTGCATGGATTATCAATCCAATGCGAAGAATTAATAAATATATGTTGAAGAAAAGAATGTTCATTTTCTGTAACCCAAGACTGAAAAAATTTTAAAAAATAAATAAATAAATAAGGAACCAAAATATTGTAAGATTGTTATTCAATGGTGATCAAGTAACTGTTGTGGGTGTATCTCGTATTCTACCCGGTTTGTGCTTATATTTGTTAGTGACTTCCAAAAGAGTTCGCAAACACACGACTGGGATGCAATTGAGAGCACAACATATAATGGGTAAAAGTGTATGGTACTATTCCGCGCTATCATAAAAAAGAGCAACTCTACACCACACCTTGTATATTTTTTTACGTTATACCTGTCTAATGCCTTCATTAGGGGTTCTTAAATAAACTGCACAAAAGTTTTAGGTTCAGGAGATGTGTTTGGTCCTTTTGGATTTATGTTTCTATTAGGTCTGAGGAAAGTAGGTTACTGACATGAGATGTGGGGTTTTTTAATCAGTTACTGAATTATATTTCAAATTCACACATTTGCCCTTTAGTAATTGAACTCGAAAACACCTGCTGCTTGAATCTTCTCAAGATGTTTTGGGCATTCATGAGAATTCATATCGTGGCACAACTTAAGCTTAACCAATTCAAAGTGCTTGCATATTATAATAATGTGTATATATAGATATATGTGTGTGTGTGTGTGTGTGAAATAGATGCACATTCAGTAAGTTTTTAGTTGATATTGAGTATTCCATCAAACATTGGCTTTGAGTCGTCATCCAATTTCAGCAGCCGCGTGGGTTCTTGACCTTGATAAAGATGAAACATCAAGAGAAGGTATTGAGTTTCTGCGTTTGAGATGTGACTTGAGAGAAATTTGTTTTGTTGGGTGCTTGATTTCTTGAATTTACTTTGGATTACTTACTTTGGCTTAATAATGGACAGAGAGCAAGAAGAAGAAGAGGAAGATTGAATCGGTGTCTACTGGGGATGACCGGAAGAAAAAAGGTGAGCGTGGATTGACTGCTTGGGATACTGGTGCTTCTTGCTCAAGCTCTAATCTTCCATGTATGGATCGACCTAGGGAAGAGCTTTCTTGTGCAGTAAAACTGTTCCAACTTCCAAGTTCCAACCGTTCTTTGTGTTACAATTTGCAACTTCTATTAAACAAACAAAAACTCTGTTTCCTTTAATTCCAATTGAATCTGATTCATTTCACAGATTTGTTTGGAGATTTGCTTCGAACCTAGTACCACTTCCTGTGGACTCAGGCAAATCTAAGATTACAATTTGTTTTGGCAATCTAAGACAAATGATCAATTGATTCTCATTACTTACCTTCAATTTTGCAGCTTTTGTGAGAAATGTTTGCGTTCTGTGGCTGAAAAATGTGGGAGACGATGCCCCGGTGTAGGCAGCTAATCAGGTAACCTATTAATTTTAAGGAAAATCACCTGATCCAAGCCCAATTGTACGGGGTGTTTGGGAGGAGTAGATTGGATACAGACCTAACTTTTGGGATAATTATATTATGGTAATTAAGTTTTTGTTTGTTTCTATTTTCAGCAATGGAAGATGTTGCACTGTGAATACAGCCCTTTGGAATACTGTACAGATTCTGTTTCCACAAGAAGTTGAGGCAAGGAGGGCAGCTGAAGCACCAAAAACTCGAGGGAATCACTACAATTTGAGGAACCAGAGCATTCAAACAGTAAATAGTCCGGGGGCAGAGTGTCAAAGCGTGAGAAGAGTGAGTTATCATGAAGTAATTAACTGAAGCATGAGGAGTAGAAGAAGGGTGCCAAGCATAGAGGAAGATGCTGCCTTGGCTCGAAGGTTGCGGAGGGAAGAGTACATGGAGGCTTTTCTTAGTAGGGGATCTGGTGAGCAATATAGAAGCTCCCTTTCCTTAGCAACCCAAACTCGTTTTAGGGCTATGGCTGTAGGAAAAATGGTTTGGAAATCATTAATGGGTGATTGAGAAATTGACTCCAAAGTGCACCATTTGAGTATGGGTTTAAGACGAAATTTATTTAATTTAAAATTTGATTTTATTTAGATATATTCGTTAATTTTTTGAGTCAAAATTAAACAGAATTTGATTCAGAATTCGAATTCTTTTGAAAGAACATTCATGTCTTTTTTGGTTGCACATTTTTATGAAAAAGAGGTGACTCATTTGAAAAGTCATCATGACTATTCGAAGAGCCACCAATTCATCTATATAAACAAGCTCCCATTGCATTCATTTAAAAAAAAAAAAAAAAATTCATCGTTTGTTTCTTTTCTTCTGCACTCTGTCTTTTTTGTAAGAGAATTCTGCACAGTAAGGTTCGTCAGACTTGCCATGGTAGTGCTACTTCTGCAAGGTTTGATCGTTGTATCCTGAGAGACGAATGTCCAATAAAAACTTGTGAGCACCCTAGCGAGGGACAAATTTGTCTTAAAGACAGAGTATCACACACTCGACTTGATCTTTTTGTACTTATTCGGTTTAAGAAATAAATTCTGTAAGTAATTTATTTTTATTTGTTTGATTTGGTTTCAACTTATTTATTTTCCGCAGAAGATTGTTCCAACAATCTTAAGATAAATTCGGTGTTCTATTTTATTTGTTAGATATTATATTTCTGTGTTTATGTTCAACCGTTTCTATTTTGTTTAATTGTGTTTATAATTTATTTGCCCGAATCTGTAGAAATCAAAATTTAATTGTTGTTGATAGAAACAATTACGTTTATGTAGTGGCTGTAAATCCTTTTGTTTGTTTCTCATATATGAACACTAGTTTTTTTTATTGTGTTTTTAATGGTGATGTGACGATTGAAGAAATGGTGTTTACTACCATATTTTTTGGGTAATAGTATTCCTGATTAATTATGATTTTGCATAATTTTAGTAGATTATCGGAATAAATTATGCTAATATCTGCTTAGATTATTAGTTGTATTCAGTTAAATATAGAAATTTGTATTCTTTATTTTTGTTGAACCGATGTTTCCTCTCAGTCTGGAATTTTTATTTGAATTTGTGTTTGAGTCAGATTTTATTTCTTATTATATTGTTATTACAATATTGTTTGTGTTCTATTTGAATACATAATATTATTCTGTAATTTTTTATTCTACTATATTCTGAATTATCTATTGTGTACTATTTTGATACAGAAAATTTTTGTTTATTAATTTATCTGTATCTATATTCAAGTCAGATACTATAATTAAACACAATCGAGTTTAATTTTGAAACTGTTTAAAACAATTGGTGGACATTTTAGAGTCTTCTTTACTTTTATTGTAAACTGTTAGGGTTTGGTTTAACAAAAAAAAATTTCCTGGAAATTGCATTTTTGTTTAAGCCGTATTCGTACTTGTTTGGTTACGAGATGGTCGTGCTACAGGCCTCAAATATTGAGGCGCAAATTTGCTTTGAATTTGTTTAATTGGTCGTCCAGTCAGTCGTGCGGCAAAGAGGCTAACAGCCACGGTCGACAAGGTGACAACCACGGTAGACAAGTGTTTCACCCGGTCATCCAGGTGGTCGTTTGATCGGTCAATCGGTGACTACAAATTCACCTCATTCGTGCCTAAAGTTCTCAAGGCCTAAAGCATATACCTTTGTTTAAGTCGTATTCGTATTTGTTTGGTTAGAGCATCTTCAATGGTTGTTACTATAATATCATTGCTATTGCTATAATTTGGCAATGAATAGTGCTATTTTGCCAAATTATAGCATTGGTGCTCCAATAGTCACTTGTTATTTTGACAATTCTCAACCAACTTCTCCTTCAAATTTGTAGGTGTTGTTTGGATATAGGTTTTTATGTGATTTTATTTTTGTTTATTTTTTGTCTTTTGTGACCTTTTTTTTAACTATTTGTAAAAAAAATTATATATTTATATTATTCCCGACTAGACAAATATAAAAAATGAAAAAAAAAATTTGAAAAATTAGAAAAAAAATTAAAATATAATTCACCCCACCAAAAAATTTATTTATTTTTTTGAAAAATTATATATTTATATTATTCCCTCCAATTCTGTTTTTTCAACTGAATTTGGAGCCACAAATCTGTTCATATTTGCTGATGTGTCATATGTGACAGTTGCTATTCTACTTGGCAAATTTGAGAACAGAAATGGCATATGCCATCTTTGGCAACTAGAATAGCATGCCATTAGAGACCCACTTTTTGTCATTATTGTCAAATTATAGCTTTGACAAGCATTTTGAGAGCTCCAGTGAAGATGCTCTTACAAGATGGAAAACTTTGACCCACTTTCTTTGGATACATGCAACAGTATAACATGCATCCTTTGTGTCTTGCTCTAATTACTTGTATGGTGATGTTATAAATATCTATTCATGTGAGCTATATGTGTTTTGGTTTTGCTTTTGTGTATGGAATTTAAATAGAGTTTTATACAAAAGTTTGTGAACTTTTAATTAAAATATGGTGGTGATTATAACATTCATGTAATTGTCAATGGATCTCATGTGGGGTATTATTTCGAAAAGTATATTTCATGTGTAAATAACATTTTTGTTTAATTGTGATAGTAGTATTAACAATCGTTAACACTAAAAAAATTTAAACATGATGATTTAAATAGTGGTGTCATTCTATTTAATTGGAAGTAGATTAAGGAATCTTTTGTGTTGATTATTATTTTGTTAATAATCAATTGAAAGTTATTTTAAAGTAACTTTGAGATTTGTGACATAAATTGCCATCGATCATTATTTTACTTGTATAGTAGAATTTGTTTAACCATAAACCATAATATTAATATGGGAGTTTATCTCTTGAAGTAGAAGAGATAATTCAATTTACTTTTGTCACACATATTTTTGTAACAATGGCACTCGTTCGTAAATGAGTCATGTTGTTTGTGCTAATTTATGTATTATCACAAATGTGGGGGAGAGAAGTAGAATTGCCTGCTAATCATGATTCATGACAAGTTACATTCTGATTTATATTAGAATTGGGTATCACAAATTCTGATTCATGACAATGGCACTCGTAAGTGATGAATGTTATATATTAGAATTGTGGGGGTGTATTGATATTTTTGTATGGTAATATCAAAATAAGAAATTTAATTTTTCTTAGAGTACTCAAAATGTGGGGGTGCTTGGAGAATTTTACCAAAGTAACGGTTCCGATAGTAAGTTCACAAAGAATCTTAATTCTTTCTATAGGACAAAGTTAGAGTAGAAACAAAAATGATTTCATTAACTTCTAAAGAACACCTCTATGTTTATTATTTAAATTTTAAATATGAGAGTGACATAGAGTAATGGTAAGTCTCAATGTAATCAGAGATTTAATACCATAGGACATTTGCTCTTAGTTATAAATATTGTCTAAAGATAATATAGTGGATCCACTAACTACTCAATGATATATAACTAAGAAGGTCAAACAAAAAATAACGGCTGCTAAACAAAAAGTTTGACCAAAGAGCAAATGAGAGAAAGTTCATCGAGAGGAATGTGATTAAAATCTATTAATTCCGAGTCGCTATAATGGCAACCTAACCTAACTGACTGGAGATATTCTGTGTGAATTCTATTGTCTTGACTTACACAAACGGCTGAACAGTTTAAGGCATCACGTCCACTGATTAACTAGTAAATCCGATAATCTTTCACTAAGAAAGGTTCAAAGTCAAAAACTACCTATCCTCATTCATAATATTTCCAATTGAATTCTCTTTGAGTCTGCATGGAGTCTTGCATACTTTTCCGTCATTTCATTCATGTGGGGGATTGTTAGAAAAATAGTTTGGAAAGCATTAATAAGTGAATGAGAAATTGACTCCAAAGTGCACCATTTGAGTATGGGTTTAAGACGAAATTTATTTAATTTAAAATTTGATTTTATTTAGTTCGGGCTACTTTGAGGCCCAGTTTTGATAATCCGAACCGTTCATATTTTTAGATTTATTCAGTATATCATACCTGTAAAAAATCAAGTTGATCGAATATCATAAAGTATGTGTTCGGAAAACTGTTTATTAAAAAATAGTTTGTAGTCCCAATTTTCTGAATGCATACTTTCTGATATCCGATCAATTTGATTTTTTACAGGTATAATATACTAAATAAATTTAAAAATATGAACGGTTCGGATTATCAAAACTGGGTCTCAAAGTAGACCCGAAGGCCCCTGCAAGGAGGGAATGAAGGAGGGGGCTCAAGGAGGGGATCTGGACTCTTCATTCATGTGGGGGATTGTTAGAAAAATAGTTTGGAAACCATTAATAAGTGAATGAGAAATTGACTCCAAAGTGCACCATTTGAGTATGGGTTTAAGACGAAATTTATTTAATTTAAAATTTGATTTTATTTAGATAAATTCCTTAATTTTTTAAGTCAAAATTAAATAGGATTTGATTCAAAATTCGAATTCTTGTAAAAGAGCAATCATTTCTTTTCTGGTTGCACATTTTTATGGAAAAAATGTGACTCTTTTGAAAAGTCACCATGATTATTCGAAAAGCCACCAATTCATCTATATAAACAAGCCCCCATTGCATTCATTTAAAAAAAAATTCATCTTGTGTTTCTTTTCTTCTGCACTCTGTCTTTTCTGTAAAAGAATTCTGCACAATAAAGTTCGCCAGACTTGCCGTGGTAGTGCTGCTTCTGCAAGGCTTGATCGTTGTATCCTGGGAGACGAACGTCCAATAAAAACTTGTGAGCACCGTAGCGAGGGACGAATTTGTCTTAAAGAAATTATGTCCAACACAAGCCTCGATCAAATTGTTTTTCATTTCCAGATTTTTACAATCTGTTTGTAAGTTTTCTACTTCTCTATAAGTATTTTTGGTTCTCGGTATATGGTTTGGTTTGTTCTAATCCAAACAATTTAGGTTATATTTAACTTATATTTTTTTATACAATATTTGGTGGAATTATTACATGTTACAACTGTACACATAAGATTTATTCCTACAATGGCATCTAGGGGCTTTAACAGTTGGATTGGAGGCCGGTCAACATCGAGAGTCTAGCTTTGTCATTTCATGCTTCGAAATCTTGAAAAGGATAATATTTTCATTCTTGAGCTTTGTCATTTGTGGATATTGTTAACTGGATAATGTTCATAAGCTTACAATAATTTCCTTTTCATGATTTTGTGCCTCTCTTTTTGTAATTGATTTTGTTGTTACTTTTATAGAGGCTGGTTCTGATCAGCTGAATTCAAAGAATGTATCTGAGGGTTCATTTTTTATATTTTTTCTCAAGAGAATGGGGGCGGGTCTAGTAGCTGGCAAAGCTGAGATGGCTCGAAGTACAATTTAAGGTCCGGCAAAGCTGAAAATGTTGCAGCAAGTAATTTGCTTTTAAACAGAGTGGACAGTTTGAGATTTTGATCCACTTGCAAAATCTTATCAAAGTCCATTTAAAATATGGGTATTAGTGATTTTGTCAAAACAGGCTATCAAAGTCCATTTAAAATGTGGGTATTATTTTGCTTTTAAACAGAGTGGACAGTTTGAGATTTTGATCCACTTGCAAAATCTTATCAAAGTCCATTTAAAATATGGGTATTAGTGATTTTGTCAAAACAGGCTATCAAAGTCCATTTAAAATGTGGGTATTATTTTGGCAAAAGAGGTTATAGCACATTTGAT